AGCTGATGGTATTAATTCCTGTATTGGACCAGAATTTCAAAAGACAACTCTGTGGTATCGCTTTAAAGATAAAAAGTGATAATGTCTGAAAATGGAAAAATATTCCACCTACTCATACAAAGTTATACTTATCCCAAAACCAGGAAAGGAATTAGAGGAGTGTACAGACCTGCATGCCTGTTATAACTTTTCTTCCTTCAAGAAAGGAAAATCTTTGGTAGTCGCCATAAGCAGGATCAAGAGAGATATCCAATGTAGGAACAGATGGATGGTGACTTTCTTTCTCGATAAAAGAAATGCTTTGAATAGTGTAGCTGAAAAATTATCCTAAGACTACTGGACAACTTAGGGATATCTCCCTATCTGCAGAACTTGGTCAGGAAATAGTTCACAGATAGGTGCATCAATATTGTGAGGGATAACCCTATGAATACCGTAGCGGGAATGCCTCAGGGCACTGTCCTGGGACCATTGTTTTGGAATGTTTTTAAAGTGATTTTGGAGGCCCACCTCGGCATTGGTGTACAGGCAATAGCATATGTGGATGACCTGGTGGTGCATAAAGAAAACTAGTCAATCATTCATAGTGCGAACCTAGCCCTCAACAAAGTAAAGACATGGATAGGTAGCAGTGACCCCATGCTGGCAGCCGACAAGACTAAAGCTATGATCTTCAAGGGTCCGGGTTCCAGAGGGAGACCTTTTTCAATGGAGTGAGAAAGAATCTTATCTGCCAAAAAGTGCAGTACTTGGAGGTAGTGCTAGATGAGGCGAACCTTTGGTGAGCATGTGAAGTATGTTGTTCACAAGATAGAGGAGAGAACTTCAGCACTGACTATAGCGTCTAGCCGTTGGCAGGTCAGGATAATCCTGACCAATCCAATCGCACTTGAGTATGTGTGTGGCGCGTCATTTAAATTATGTACACATTTGAATGTTACAGTTCTCATATCACGAAACGTTCTCGGATTGTTCACTCAAACAAGAAGTAGTGTTTAGTTGTTTTAAGTACACAGTTTTATTATTTTACATATTATAAATACTATCTTATTGTGAGTTGGCAACAAGTGAGGGAGGGCTTGTCTGCTTGTCACTTATTATTATTATAGATCATAGTTGTTGTTATTTGTTATGTTGTTGTATAATAAAAATAATTACCACAATCAAATATCAGCTATAAACTAACGTTCAGATAGACTTGGAAATAACTGTCCAATATCAGTTTGATGTCCAATGTGTGTTTTTATAAAATTGACTTCAACTTTTTCTGCCAAATCAACCACAATCGTGAGACTGCTGGGCAAAATCCGCCAATTTTTATACTGCCTTTCATTTTTAAGTGCCTTTTTCCTTTGCTTTCAGAATTAAAGCAGCCTGACCGATGACAGAGAAACTTCATTGTTTTGTGAGTCTTTGCGGAAAAGTTCTCGACTTAAACGTATTTGGTTTTTGTACTATTTTCAATAGAATATTTCCACTCCTGAAAAGAGACTAAATTGGAAAATTGAAGTGTTTCACTTTCTAGGATAAGGTTGTGTTCTTCTTCAAAATGAGAATGCAATTCTGCAACATAACTTGAATAAAAATTATACAAAGGACACTTCTTAGAATCTTTCTTGATTTTGCTATCTTCCGTTGAAGTGTCTACAACATTTTTATGAGTTTCTGTGTATTCAAAACAATTAAACATAACTCCTTATTTGTGTGAACAATCTGAGAACGAATCGTGATATGAGAAATGAGAACTGTTACATTCAAACCTGTACATAATTTGAATGACGCGGTACACACAAAATCAAGTGCGATTGGATTGGTCAGGATTATACTGACCTACCAACGGCTAGACGCTAGTAGCACTGACAAGGATTATGCCCAATGTGAAAGGGTAAACAGAAGGGTAATTACAACCTGCTCATTGCACAAAAATACTCTTCAAAACCGGAACACAGTAATTACAGGTGGTTTCCACATATCTTCAAAACAGAATAGCCTTTCTTCAAAACTAGAACTTTCTTTCTTTTAACTTTTAAAACTCTTAAACTTTCTTTTAACTTTTTTTAAGTATCTATAAGATTAAAAATAAAAAAGTATTTATGTGAAATTCCTGAAGAGACTGTATACCTGGAATGCTACACATAAAATCTTGTCCCTTCTATAAAAAATTATTATATAAAAGTATAAATACAATTCATGACATAACACTACCAACAATAGAATCAATTTTTATTCACTATTACACACATTAGATGCTGATACTAAGTAAATAACTATATTGAATCAGTCTGAAATAAATTATAAAGAATTGTAACTGCAGCAAATAAGAAAATAGTATCAAAAAAGAAAACAATAACATTCTTGCTTGTGCTACATGCCTTCAGACTTCTAATTTCAATGTAAATAATTTCCAAGGTTATTTTTAATCCATATTGGTAGATAGCTGTTCAGAGGTGTATTTGGGGCAATTTTCAGGTAGAAACAGTATCAACATTAATTACAATTAATTGATTGATTAAAAATACTTGCAATACTTACTTTAATTAGTTTAATTAACAACATCGTCCAGTCTATTAAAATTAATAGGCTACGGTGGCTAGGACACCTTGAAAGAAAGTACACTAGAGACCCCCAAAGATAGCTATTATATCATGAGCCAGTAGGAACCAGGAAGAGAATCAGGTCAAAATCTATATTTAAAACTCAGGTCAAAGATGACTTGAGGAATCTAGGGGTCAGAAATTGGAAAGCCAGGGAGAAAGATAGGGGAATGGAGATTAATTCTTGAACAGTCCAAAACCCATCCAGGGTTGTACAGGCAAAGATGATGATGATGATAGAATGTCCAGTTCTGTCTTCTCCAATAATTTCTATGGTTTGTTCCTATATGCCCTTGTTGCACAGTGAACATTATTATTGTTTATATTTGTCTGTTTTAATGCATTTGTTCCACCATATATTTTCGTTCAAGACATCCATGTCGCCTGTTGGTCTTGTTCACTTGTTGGCATAGTTTTTTTACTTGTCGAGGCTGCATAATTTCATTCCCAAATATTTTACTATCCTTTTAATTTTTTCTATACAAAGTACCATGTTGTAATGAATGCTATCTCTAGATTAAACTGCTGTTTTCTGTTGATAGTGACCAACAAGGGCATTAAAAAGCCTTCAAAATAATTTAAGAATGTTGCAATTGTGATTGATCACGTTGATATTCAAACAAGAAAATTCTACTATTGTCTCATAATGTAAGACAACAAATACACTACCAAAAACAGAAAAAAAAACAAAGCTAATGAATGTCACAGACAATATAATCTTTACATATATTATAAAATCTTTATAATATATGTAAAATAGGATATATCCTGAGGTATGAACACATTCATATTCAGAATATTAACTTCTAAGAACTTCACAAAATACAGACTGCAATCTAACAAGTATTGTGAACTTTCAGTAATGGATAGGGGATATTCAGAAGATTCTAACTTACCACAATGTTAATGAAAATGAAAGCACACTCTACGGCCAAGAAACAACACCAAGTACAAACATACTAGGCAAATAATTTAATAAATAAAAAGATATTGGCAATTATAAATGCAATGCAAATATTTTTATACAAATCATATGTTGCTCCATTTTTACCTTTGGAAACTTAACTACCTATAATTATAATCAAATTCAGAAATTAAACCTAGGATCTTAGATGGACTTGCCCAAAATAACATTAATTATTCTTCTAATCAAGTCGATTGTCTTACTTTCTCTTTATTTGGTTACCCTGTATGTTTTTAAATTGATTTCGATTGTTTGTTTTGACATTTTTGTAATATATATGTAATATAAATATATATTTTTTCAAATACTCTTCGCAGCTTTCTATTATTACCTATTTCTTGTCTTGAATTTGTCAATTTGTATTTCCGTTATATATTTATCTTTTTGGTGGCCGAATTATCTGCAATTTTTTTAAAAAACAGGTGAATTAGAAAAAATATTTTAGAATATTTCAACAAGGTCACTACTGTACATAAGAGGTATAGAAAGAAGGCTTAGAAAAGAGAACGAGTGTACGATCTAGATATCCATGGAAAAGAACGTTCAAGAGAACCGAGACCGTTACACGGGCAATCTGGCAACGTCGATATACCGGACTCGCGTTCGTTCACACGAGATTATGGAACACCCGCAATGTTCTCTTCTTTTCTATTCCACAGGCTTTTACTGGTAAACCATTTGAGAAAATGTACTATCGTCATTAGACCTGTTCGTTATACGTCGACGATAAACAAAGATAAACACTATTAATAACTGAATACCTCTGTGGAAACTGATACAACTATCAAATTTTAAGAGTACTATTATGTATCGTTTCTATGTTGCGAGAAGAGTAAACAAATGTCACTATAATGATTTAAATATTTACATATATGAATGAAATTAATTTTAATAACAAAGAAATTGATAGCGCGCATGTAAAAAAGAGTAACTTCAAATTTGTAAATATTTTAGAAAGCGTACCAAAACATTTCGTGAGGCGAGGATGTAACCAAAGAGAGCGTAAGTAAAGAACGGAATCATTAAAAATAATCTCGCAATTTGACACACATTTCGAACATACGTACGTCGCACATATTTGATTGTAAGTTAACTTACCAAGGCAAAGAAATTAGTGTGGCAGTCTTCTAAACTAGCTCCGTTAGTTTGAAAGTTTGGATGCGTCATATCTGATCCATTATTAAAGGGTTTTCTTCACGACACATAAAAGCAACACTGCACGTCACTTAAATCTTAAAACCACATTTGAAAACCTTACATTTACCGAGATTTTCACCTTTCTATCGCAACTGCAAAATGGCGGAGACCACGAAACAACAAGCCGAACTAAAATCGGCTCCGTACAAAACTTACAGATTCGCCGTATGACATTAGTTCAGACATACGTCACTTACACCATCAGCACACTTTTCGATCGCAAGGTGCTGCGTAACATGCAGCATATGTCTTTGCTTAGTCCACGCACATATCCAGTCGAAAAATATGGCAGCGTTTCTAAGGCATGGCGTTTTCAAAACAGGACGAGTTGTCTCTTCAAAAAACGTAAATATTTTCACTGAGTAATTTAGAAACTTATCGAGATCACTTATCAGTATAACACTGTTCGATAGAAAAAGCACTTCATTTTGTAGTCTTTGTTTATGCCACGGTTTTTGTTAGTAATGTTTGCACTTGTTTAAAACCACACTTTTTAAATTTTAGGTACTTTTGAGGTCCTTTGCCACGAAAGCTGAGAAGAAGAAAGGAATCGACAGAAAAGTTGGCCCAAAAATAGACTCCACAGCTCAATCTTTAGCTTCTAAAGGGTGTGTACTTCGATTTAGATCAGCTTTGAGTGCGTCTGTCTTCAGACGGGAGCCATTGCTTTCGCTCTGCTTGTTTTTACAAAGTCCTACCGCGAGGGGACGACACCGTACAGAGTCAATAAATATGATACTGCGCATAGATACCAAAAAGCAAATACCTTGCAATAGAATATTTTGTCCATTCAATGAATTTGAAATTATTTTTTTTAATTTGTACTTTTGAGATTAATCTTTGATTATTATATTACAATATTTACTGTCATTTATAGAGTTTAAAATTTATGTCTAGTTACAATAACGATTTGGTTACTAGATGCTAAAATAGGCAACTCTTATTGTTTCTAAGTAGTTATAAATTTTAACAAACCTCTGCAATCTGATATGAAAAGCTATTTTTATATTTTAGGGTTATCAAATAAGTTACAAATTTAAAAACTAATATTTAAAACATATGGTTCTAATTTAAAATCTATATTTTTATAAATTTTATAAAATTACTAATTTTGATATACCTACACCAATTTTATAATATTACTGATTTTTCGGTTTATTCTTGCAAGTTCTTCTTCATTATACTATCCAAATATTCTTGAATATTTCCTTCCATGTTTTTTTTTCTCGTTTTTATATCCTTTCGTAATTGAAACTTTGTTTATCTTCTCTCATCATTGCCAACCGTGGCCAGTTTGCAGCGCTAATCTTCATCGTATTCTCGTCTGAACCATCGTTCTACCTCAGTTTTGTCCTGCTGTTATTCCTATTACTCACAGACATTGATGATAGGGCCTGGGAGGTTTATTTTAATTTTGTTCTTACAAGTGTCCTGTCCTTTTTTATGAAAGATATTATATCCTTGCTGTCTGTTGTTTCTTATAGATCTTAAAGTTATAATCGCCCTTCGTTTTTTGTTCATTCTCTCTCTTCAGTCTTGAACCCCTGGAGAGAGTGCATTGTTCGTCGGTATATCCTGTATAGATCTTCATCTCCATAGATCTCTCCGTGGTCATTTCTTTTAATTCATTTATTGATTTTTTGCAGATTCCTTTGATTTGGTCAATCCATGTTGTTGGTTTTCTATCTGATTTTATAGAATGTCCAGAGTATTGTAATTATTGTTATAGTTGGACTTTACTGGAGGGTCTTTTACTGTTCTGTAATGCTCTTTAGTTGTTCCATACTCGGTCCACGAAATTTGTAACATACTTCTCCAATAGAACATTTCAGTGGCGTCCACAATGTCACAAAATTCGCATGCGTATGTATAAAAATTGTATTTAAACAATTCCTTTATAAAAGGCAGATGCCTTATTTTTTAGATGTTTTATGACATCTATCGTTTCTTCCAATGTTGGCCGCTCAACTAGTTGTTCTGCTGTGTGGTGAATTATTTCTTCATCTTCGTTTTGTTCTTTTTCTGGGTTTAAAAGCTCTTGATTGAAAATGCTCCTTACACCTTTTCCTTACTTCCTCTTTCTCGCTGATAATTGCCCCATTTTTGTCCTCGCAAACTGTTGATCTTGTCATGTATCCTTGGGTGTATTGCTTGGTTTCCTTGTAAAATTTTCTAGTCTCTCTTCTGTTATTATAATCTGTAATTTGTTGTATTTTTCTATTCAACATTTCTTTCTTTTTCTTTCTACATATTTTCTTTGCATCTTTTAAGAGTTTTTCATATGCCCTTCTGTTCAATCGGGAATCCCTTTGTAGACGTTTCTGTCTAGCTATATTTTTGCTATTTATTATTTGTTGGCAATCTCGTTCCTTTTACTTGAGGTTTCACCTAATGTTTCATTTGCCATATTTGTAATTGTCGTTTGGAAGACATTCCATTCTTCTTCAATATTGTTTTGTTCTCCTCCTTCATTTAATATTACTTTTATTTTCTGTTAGTACTCATTCTTCTTTTTATGGTTTTTAAACGTGTTCCATTTTCTTTGTTTGGCGTATTTCTCTTTTCTTACCATTGATATTCTTGGTCTTATCTTCGATATCACCAAGAAATGGTCCGAATCGCAATTTGCGCCTCTATAAGTTCTAAACAAGTTCTATAAGTTCTAGGCACCAACGTAAATGCAAAATGGGAACAGACCATGGAAATTAAGGCGAGAATAGAACGAGCTAGAGCAGCATTTAGCAATATGAAAAAGCTCCTCATAAGCAACGATTTATCTCTTCCCCTAAAACTTCTTCTTCTTCTCGTGCCACTCCTAGCGGAGATTGGAAATCATCATGGCCACTGCGACTTTGTTAGCAGCGCGCCTAAAAAGTTCAATCGAACTACACCCGAACCATTCACGTAGATTACGAAGCCACGATATTTTTCTTCTTCCCACATTTCTTTTGCCCTTAATTTTGCCCTGCATGATGTTTCTTAAAAGTTCGTACTTTTCACCTCTCACAATGTGCCCCAAGTATTCTATCTTTCTAGTTTTTATCTCATCTAGAATTTCGCATCTTTTGTCTAAAGTTTGGAGTACTTGCGTGTTAGTGACGCGGTCCATCCATGAAATTCTGAGAATGCGCCTATAGCACCACATCTCGAAAGCTTCGATGTTTTTTTATGGTCAACTGTTTTAGTGTCCAAGCCTCAACTCCATATAACAGGGTAGAAAAGACATAACACCGCAGCATTCGTATTCGTAACTTTATATTGATATCACGATTGCAAAAGAGTTTGCGCATTATATTAAAGACTGATCTAGCGATTTCTATTCTACATCTAATCTCTTTTGTTTGATCAGTATCGTCTGTGATCCAAGCACCTAGATATTTATAACAGGGCACACGCTCAATCGTTGTATTGTCTATTACAAGATTAGCTCTAATGTTCTTTGATTTCGTGATTACCATAAATTTAGTTTTTTTTTTCAAATTAATTTTAAAGCCGTTACTGTGACAGTATATATTGAGACTTTGAACGAGATATTGTAGTTCTACCAGCGTTCCCGTTAGGAGAACTGTATCGTCAGCATACCTTATATTGTTGATCGTCTCACCATTTATTATCAGATCAAGATCTTCTTCCTCGAGTGCTTGTTCACAGATAGCTTCACTATACAGATTAAATAAAAGTGGCGATAAGATACATCCCTGCCGGACTCCTCGACGGATTTGAATTTCTTCTGTTAGTCTGCCCTCAACCTTGACATTTGCTGTTTGATTCCAATATAGATTGCATATAATTCGAATATCTCGGCTGTCTATATTTTTCTTTATTAGAACTTGTCTTAGTGGTTCATGTTGTACTTTGTCAAAGGCCTTTTCGAAATCAATAAAGCAGGCCTAAAACTACGTATAGTTAAATGCTACATTTTTCCGATCTTGCTGTATGGCGTGGAGGCCTGGACGCTGACGGAGACGCTAACGAGAAAACTAGAAGCATTCGAAATGTGGGTGTACCGACGCATTCTTCGTATATCCTGGACCGAACATTTCACCAACATAGAGGTACTCCAAAGAATCGGAAAGGAGAAAGAAATCGTGAATACAATTAAACAAAGAAAGCTTGAATATCTAGGCCACATATTGAGACACGATAAGTACCGTCTGCTACAATTGATTGTCCAGGGAAAAATAGACAGTAAGCGAGGGCCAGGCAGGAGAAGACACTCGTGGCTCCAAAATCTGCGGAAGTGGTTCGGGCTCACATCGGTCGAACTATTCAGAAGCGCCGCAAACAAGATCAAAATTGCCATGTTAATAGCCAACGTTCGCAACGGACAGGGCACTTGAAGAAGATATCGCTTAGATATTAATATGTGATCAATTTGATTAAATTTATTAGTACCAGGTATCATCCAGGTTCCTTTATGAATATTTTTATGAGGGAAACACGTACTAACAACTCTTAGTTTATTTGCCATTGCCAACTGTGCCACTCTTACCACTTCTCCTTGTGGAGAACATTAAGTAGTTATTTGAGTGCACATTTTGGTCATCTTCCCTACAGCGATTATTGCTAGATCACATCTATGTTTTACCTCTTCCTGCAGTCTTCCTGCATTTATCATTGATCCCAGATACAAGTATAAGTTTACAACGTCAAGCTGGTCAATGGATGAGTGTGGATGCTTTTTGTGTTCCTTGGGCTGTATCGTTGTCAAAACGCAGACTGTTTATTTCTGAGGGGGGAAAGACTTTCTCGTCTCACTTTATCAGCTTTTATTTGTATATGTGTAGTATCATATAGCATATCGGTTGTTATGTACCTCAGTGGATAAACGCCAGTCTATTGTCCGAATGCTGGTGAAATCGACCCGCCACAAAGTTCATAAATGTACAATATATATCGAGATTTTCCATGCCTACTATGATACGTGTATTGCCGCGGATATAATATCGATCACACTAACGGTAAAAATGCAAGACGATTTGCGAATAGCCAACAATAGATTCAATCATAATTTCGATATCATTTTCCATTGGGAGTATTCCAATTTTCATTCTTCAAATTCATGTTTTTGCAACGCTGAATTTTATGTACCTGTTTTTATTACATTTGTTATGACTTTGTTATTAGAACAATAAAAATGCTACACTGATTGATTACAACATTGATTTGATCTGTAGTCGATTTCTAAAATGATATAAACTTCTGAGTAAATAATGAAATGTATTGTGGAGATGTAGATGCGTTGAATTTGTATTGCGGCTTTTTTTTCTCATTTTCTTCAATTAGTTGGTCCTTATATGGAGAGCTGGTGATAATTTCCGACTTTTTGCTTCTGCGATTTCTGGATCTAACCACAATTGATTTAGGTAACGGAGAAATGGTTGTTAATTTAATATAACTTGATGATGTTCCAGGATGTTTGATAAATCAAATGTTTTTGTTTCTGGAGCTATATCAACTTTTTCTTCCAAAGTCATTGCAGATGTGTCGAAAACCAGATCTGTAAGTTGATGGATATTGTTTTTGATCTGTAAAATCCTTCTCGTACAATCGGGTTCAGATGTAGGTATGTCTCTGATTATGGCATCTTTCATTAACATGAATATTT